TATCAGACACGGGCACCTCGATGCGGTGGATATTTTTTCCACAAACCAAAACGTTTAGCCGTCAAAAAGCAATCGACCGAAATGGATAGATAACCCAACCGACACAAGAACAACCGAACACCCGCCGATCGAAAATATCCCTTTTCGCGTTGCGGAGCACGCGGGTCACCCTAGTTATATACTATTTGGTTGCATTTCATTGAAAGTATCCACGGCCGGCTGACGGCTGGCTGCCCACAGTTTGCCACGGCTGTGGGCGGCTCTGGCTGTGGAGCCACGGCTGCGGGGCGGCTAGGCTGTGGAAAATTGCAGCCGTGCAGAACTCTAATTTACTGTAAAAGAGTAAAAGAGTAATAATGTGCTTATTGTATATAAGCACATTATTGCTCTTTTTAGCAGAGTGAAGTCCGTAAAATGGCACCTGGCGGATATGTATCATTGCACACGTTAGCTGCCTAATGGCATTCCCACCCGTTTTTTCTTGTTTTCTACACATGGCATTGTGATGAAGTGACTGACCATACTGATGATCCGCCGCGATGTTTGTTGTGGCCTTTTGGTTTGACACGTATTTTCTGTGTTTTCAGAGTTTCCCGTTCTGGTTCATCCAGTATAGCGTGTTTGAGGCTGGCCGATGACACCGTGACTGGACCCGCGGTGACCTGACCTGACCTGTGCAGAGAAGCGATGACCTCCAACGGCGACCTGAGGTCGGGAACCCCAAACGGGGCCCTGAAGTCACCGACGGAGCAAACAAACACACTGGGACGAAGGAGGAACAAGTCCGGTGGGTAAACATCACACAGAGGAGTAACATTTGAGTCCTCTCTCTCTCTCTCTCTCTCTCTCTCTCTCTCTCTCTCTCTCTCTCTCTCTCTCTCTCTCTCTCTCTCTCTCTCTCTCTCTCTCTCTCTCTGTTCTCTCTCTCTCTCTCTCTCTCTCTCTCTCTCTCTCTCTCTCTCTCTCTCTCCCCCTCTCCCTCCTACCTCGTGCTATGCAGATATCCTCATTGCAGCATCATCTCTCGTAAAGGACACATCTCGCCACAGCACACTTGTCCCCGGGTTATCACCGAGCGTCTAAGGCCACTCCTACTCTCCACCCCGGCTTCTCTCGCCTCCCTTCCCCTCCCCTTCCCTCTCCCCTCCTTCCTTCCAGCCCTCCTGAGGTCTCCCTTCCACCCCTCCCTCCCTCTCCGGCTCCCAAGAAGGCGATCTGGACAGAGGGTATGAAAGCCGCTATAGGAATAAAACTGAGGGGAGGGAGTCGCCATAGTTGACGTTTTAGATCGCTTAGAACTATAGCAAGCGCATTGCGGTGGTGATAACAGAGGTCAGTGAGCAGATTTGGTAGTTCAGATATCGAAATGTTTGCTGCGTTATGTCTGACATTGGGATGATTTGTGTGATATCAGTTGTCTTTACGACTGTGGCTGCCTGCCGGTCACGGTCAAATGTCTGGAACATTTTGTTTGTTTTGTTGGGTTAGGCCCTTTCGGTCTGGCAAGACCATTTCAGAGCCGGGAGGATGATAGGATAAAGGGGGAGACATTGGTCTGGGCAGGCACCCTAGTGAGTCGCCGGGGCTGAGCCCGTCCAGAGGACAGGCCACCCAGCCCCAAGGCACTCACTGCACCCGGCTACGGGGTGCGCTCCCTCGGGAGCAGCGGTGCCGCTCAAAGGGAGCAGCCCGCATGAGATAAAGCTACCTATCCAGCCCGGAGGGGGGTTGCGGCGTGGAGGAGGATTTCTGTATCCTGAGGATGGAAGCACGGAAAGGTGTGAAATCTGGAGCAGATCGTTCGGGCTCCTTATATGGGTTTTATGGCTGCCTCACTAGGAACCTGATGCGCCAGCCTGCAGTGGAATTATCCATTGCTGTGCGGTTTCATGAACTGAAGATGGACCGATTCGATTTTATTTAACCAGTTTTGACCCGCTGTTGCCAGTTGATTGAACGGCTGAGTTCATCTAGGCATGATTGGAACAGCTCTGCTTCTTCTTTTCACGGAAAATGCCTGACGTTAGTGTATGTTTTGGCAGTGGCATCTTGTCTTGGTCAACCATGTGTGTTGTAAAAAAGGAATGATATCATAAAAAAACTAACGAGATCCACATAACCTAGGCAATTTCCTGTTGTTGCAGGCCCCAAGCGGGTGACTTTCAAGCTCGAGTCTGATTCTGCGCCGAGAGATGTCGCTAGTGACGGGGAGGCGGACACGGCCGACGGCATGCCATCCTGGTGGCCGAGGGCACCCTCCCCGGCCTCAACAGTGGGAAACTCGCCCTTAGCGACATCGCGACCGCCGCCGACCGTGGTCGTCTCGCCACCGACCGTGACCTTGACATCAGCTGACCCTGGTCTCTCGTCGCCGGCGCTGACAGGAGGTGCTCCTGTGGCGAAAGGGGTGTTCTACCCTAACGGTGGCACTTCTCCGCGGGTGTCGTCACCCCCACCCGAGGGCAACGGGCATCGGGAGATCGTGTCACCTCCTGCACCAATCAGCGTGCAGAGCCGGCCGGCTCCACCAATGGGAAGTCACGACCCGCGCAGGGTAACCTCGCCTCCACCAATAGCAGGCGTATATACTCGCCAGCCCACACCAGCAACAGTCATCCACCGAGGTCCAGCTCCGCCCACCACGTCCTACGTCAGCAATTTACCCACCAATCAAAACCAGTCATCACAAGAGACCGCGATGCCGGACTGGTGGCCCAAACAGCAAGTCAGTGACAGCCAACAGCATGTCAGTGACAGCCGACCGGCTGCCTCTCCTCCATTTCAGCTCTCAACGGAGAGATCTCTAGCTGCTAATCTTGCAGGCAGAGTTACCACTCCCCAGCAGAACAGACTCCAACCTGAGCCTGAGTACTACGACAACACCTCGCCGGAGTGGCAGGCGAGAAACGCGACGTCCCCCCAGTCCCTCTCCAGCCACAGTCCTGCCCCTGCCTCGTCCACGACGTCTGGCGCTGTGCAGATCCCCAGCTCGGCGCCAAAACTCCCACCTCCTCTGCCCGCGAAACCGGGGGATCGTGATCCCATGACGTCACTTCCGCAGGTGCCGAGCCGACCAGGGGACCGTCCAGCTGCTCTATACAGGTCTCTCGCAAACACCGAGCAGCAGGTCGCCAGGGTGGTATCCCAGGCGAACCAGGGCTTCTTCCAGTCGGCAAGAGATGTCGCTAGTATCGCGCCGACCCTGTCGCTACCGCCAACTGACCTGGACTTTACCCACCCCCGTGAGGAGGACTTCTGGAATATGTCGCCTCGACAGGCTCAAATGACGTCACCCGGCGGTGGTGACGTCACGAGGCGACTGGTGACGTCAGAGGCCACCCAGACAGAAGGAGACCCTCTGCTGGAATCAGACGACACTTGGAGTCGACTGCTGGAAGCTGTGGCGTCTGGAATTCCTGACGAAGAGGTAGATGGGTCTCCCGGACTGCGCAGTCGGTACGGGGACACCCTGCGCAGTCAGTACACGGACACCCTGCGCAGTCAGAACACGGACACCCTGCGCAGTCAGTACAGGGACACCCTGCGCAGTCAGTACAGGGACACCCTGCGCAGTCAGTACACTGACACCCTGCGCCGGCGGCCTGACACAGACGCTGCTGCCCAGCGGCCAATTCTTCCACAGGGAGAGTGTCAGCCTCATGAGAGGCTGGCCAGGCAGCGACAGGAGCTGGAGAGGCAGCGACAGGAGCTGGAGTATCTGGAGCAGCAGCGACGACAGCAGGCGGAAGAGGAGCAGCAACCGCGGCGGGAGCACCACGCAGTTGAACAAGAGAGAAGCGTAGATAGTTCACAACGCCAGGAACAGGTATTCTTGGGGAAGCGATATAATGAGAGGCGACTGTACGAGGAACAGCAAGTAGTTGAACAACGAGAGCACGAAAGGAGAAGATATGACCAGCAGGAATGGTTACAGAAGCAAGAGGAGGAAAGGCATTGGCATGAACAAGAACGAATAAGGCAGCAAGAAGATGAGGAAAGACAGAAGCAAGAACATCAACGACTGCTGCAAAAGCAAGAAGATGAAAGACGAAGACAACAGATAGAACGAGAAGAAGAGGAACGTAGACTTCAATATCAACAATACCTCCAGAGGCAAGAGGAAGAAAGGCGAAAAAGGGAACATGAAGCGTATCTCAAACGACAAGAAGAGGAAATTAGACGAAAACAGGAGGAAGATGAACTTAGAAAGAGAACGGAAAGGGAGGAAGAAGAGCAGAGAATGAGGAAGCAGAAAGAGGAAGAAGAACAAAGGCTGCTGAGGCAGAAAGAAGAGGAAGAGAAAGAGAGATTGGAGCAACTCCGTCGTCAACGTGAACAAGAAGAAGAGCAGCGTCAGCAAGAGCTTCAGGAGCAGCTGCAACGCGAGCTTCGCAACCAGCACCAGCAGCAGTGGCGCCAAACGCAGCAGGACCAGCAGGCGCGGCGCGAGCGCGAGCTGCGTCAACAGCAGCAGCAGCTCCAGCAGGAGCGTCAGCAGGCGCAGCAGCAGCAGCAGCAGCTGGCCGCTGACTGGAGGCGCCCCGCGGAGAACACGTCGCCGCCTGTGGCCGGTCTGCGCCGGGACGTCTCTCTGCGGGAGTCGAGCCGGTCTCTGCGGGAGTCGAGCCGGTCTCTGCGGGAGTCGAGTCGCGCGGGCGATCTGGCGCGGCGGGCGGGTCGAGTCTGGGACGAGGAGGCCGACTGGCTCCGCCGGGAGGCCGACTGGCTCCGCCGCGAGGCCGAGGAAACCGACAAACCAGGCTCCCCGCCCGTGACACAACAGAGAGGCGACAGCTACGAGCGCACCAGGGTGTACAGCGAGATGAAGACGGCAGCAGCCACTAGCAGGGGCGGAGCGCACGTACGACATAACCCTACCCATAATGAAACGTTTGCGCAGATAGATATGTCGGTGAAGCGATCAGAGAGCTCCTTGTCTGGTAGATCCGAGCCACCACTGTACCGAACCTCCCCAGCTCCGCATTCTAACGATACTAGCAGAGCTTTCGACTCCCGCCAGGGAAGCGGGCAGAGGCGGGCCTCGTTCCAGCAGAGTTTCATGTCTCCGCCGCCAGGGGGCTACCTTCCTCCGTCGTCGCCCTCCAAATCGGACCCGGGCTGGTGTCGCGGCGAGGATAACGACTCGGGCCGCGAGGATAACGACTCGGGCCGCAGTTCACCGAACCCTCTAGACGACGAACTCGAGATCTGCCTGAAATCCGTCGAGGAAGCCATGGCTTCCCTGCAGAACTCTGTCCAAAAGAGTACCGCGCGCCCGGAAACAAGTAGCGCCACGCAGCGGCCGGAGCTGAACCGGAGTTTCGAGGTGTCGCCGGCAGGTGGCGGTTCTAGCGGCGACTGGCGCCGTCGCAGCTGTGATGGCGCGGAACTGGAGACGTTCGGCAGGAGCAGGAGCAGGAGCTTGGACAGAGCGGAGGAGCGGGACAGAGCGGAGGGCGCTCAGGGAGCCCAGGTAAGCAGCGAGGACTCAGCTAATCATCTAGCACCACTGCCTTTATGTCCTGCTAAAATGGCACCCGCCAACCTGCTTCTTAGCCTTCAAACTGGGTGCTTGCTTTTCTACGGCTTCATTGTGCTGCTTATAAATTTATGATTACTTGGGGCAAAGCAGAGCATACTGAGTTTTAGATTGATAATGCTTTTGCAAAAAGATAAGATTGTTACAAATTACAATATCATTTGATTAAACAAATAAAAAGTCGTTTTTTTATCTTGTTATGAGCATATCGTCGTTAACTCGCATTAAATACGGAGATTATATTCTTTTGTATTACCTACTTATAGATAGCAGTTGACCACTCAACATTTCAATAATCATGAAAAATGACTTCTCGCAAAACCAAATTGTCACGTCGGTAACAATAGCCCTATCCACCTGAATAACGCAGTGCTGAAGAGAACGTTAAAAAAGCTGCACGACATCGGCCAACAAAATTGTTGTAGGCCGTAATTGGTTTTAATCTGGTCAGCTCCGGCACCTTCTCTGGCCGAACTACGGGCATGGTCCAGATATCGACTGCCAGAACACGAGATCCCAGATTGCACCACAGCCGGAGTTAGGTATGTCGCATCAGCCGTGCCGTACCTCAACCATACTTCAGCCACAGTAGGCCAGAGCAGCGACAAGGCAGCCGGACCTGGCCGTAGCACGCTGTGGCAGGGAGCCGGACTTTAGCCAGACTTGGCGGTCCGAAACCATACCTACCAACCACACCAACCAAATTTATGGGTAGGATTGTGCTGCTACAATGTGCATGTCTTTGAGCTCTGCCCTTGTGATTTTCAACTGCCTCAAGTTGGTCAAGTAGCCTTGTATTCGAACCAAAATTGGGACAAAACCCCAATCCATAATAACGATTGGCCATCCGGTTTTAGGAACTGCGGCCCTATGGAGTGCTGCGACCGCTGCAGCACGACGCCCGCCATCTATGGACGGCGGCGGAAAACACTAGTTCTAACTGGACCCGCTTGGTGATCGGCGACTGGCTTCTGGGTGCGCCCGATAACAGACATGTAAGCCGACCTATCCACTCCTGTGCCCTCTCTCTCTCTCTCTCTCTCTCTCTCTCTCTCTCTCTCTCTCTCCTCTCTCTCTCTCTCTCTCTCTCTCTCTCTCTCTCTCTCTCTCTCTCTCTCTCTCTCTCTCTCTCTCTCTCTCTCTCTCTCTCTCTCTCTCTCTCTCTCTCTCTCTCTCTCTCTCTCTCTCTCTCTCTCTCTCTCTCTCTCTCTCTCTCTCTCTCTTTCTCTCAGTTTTCTTCACACCCGTTATTCACACTTTGCAATAGGTATGAAAGGAACGAACATTTTAAATGATTTGGTAGCATTTAAATTTGAGAAATCTATTATTTTTTCTATAAAAACATGAATATTTTCTCGGGAAGACGTGATGGTTTTCCAATTTGCATAACCTTGTTGCTTGCGCATTCTTTCTATGTTTCACCATATCACTTGCTCTTATTACCAAAGCCAAGCGATTATTTTGCATGCTTTCTTCCCTCCTGTCTAGAACAATATGGGAGTCTTTGAGCCACTTCTCGGCGGCAGCACACCTACTAACTAACTAACACCAAATCCGCGCCTAATCCTGAATCGATTCGGGTGTCTCAAATGTGGTAGATGATTTTGATTTTTTTTTTCTTTTTTAACAAACCAAGATGCTTTATCAAAACTAGAGTTAACCCGTGCCCCGTCGGGGAGGAGCCGAAACGGCCTCCCTCCCTGTCCTTTTCCGTCGATATCTCCTAAAGGGCTGCAGATATCGCCACCAAACTTTCAGGGCCCCTCCGGGCTTCAATTTTACACATTGTGATTAAAACTTGTTCCAGAGGCTATGATAGGTCGGCCACAAATGACGTCAGAATGACGTCATGTTCTGCCATTTTTGACCGAAAAAGAGCTTCGCGAAGAGAGCTGTCAGGCCTAACAGCTTTGAAGATACAAAAAATGACCCGTAAATAAATGATGTAGAATTAACAGGGCTACAAAACTGTTTTCTCTTATTTTTGAAATTCTTGAGTTTTGACCCCTAAAAAATAAAAAAAAGTATTTTGTTTATATTTTGCCCAAAAAAACCCATAAAGTTTTTTTTTGAGTTTCGTAAAAAAACGGAATATATATGATAGTACCTACCGTATTCTATCTACATACAAAATTTGAGATCGACATCTCTTTTTTGGCCACGTTATAGCGAAGAAAACTGTTCAAAAATGATGACGTAAAATTTCAAACTCATTTTTTGGCAATTCTATACCACGTACGGCAAAAAAAGACCGCCATTGGACTCCCCGTGACGAGCTGCATCGAATCGATACCCATTTTATGCAAAACTATCAACTTTGAAATTCGACCTAATTTGACCTGACCTTGACCTGACCTTCACCAAAACGTAACTTAAGCTGGCCCCAAAGGCTGCCTGACCCACATAATCGCATTTGGCATGTAAAATGGACCATAAAACATGTATCACACGACACTTTCATATTGTGACCCCAGTGACCTGACATCTGTGACCTGACCTGGTATCAGTGACCTCAGATAGCGAAGTATGTGTTTGACGAACAATGTATCATCGATGGTTTTCAATAACTTAACCCGCGCACCGACGGGGGTCTGCGCCAACTTCGCACCGACGCGACGGGGGGGGGGGGGCGGATGACCGCCCCCCCTGAGATCTCGAGAACGAAGCAAGATAGCGACAAGCGGTAAACGGCATCGGATACGCACGGACAAGGTCTACAATTTTTACAAAGGTCATTTTCAGGTCAGGTCAAAGATGACGTCACAGGGGTCGAAAAAGTCAAAATGGCGGCGCTAGATATGGAGAGAGTTTTTCTCGAATAACTTTCGAATTAGTCAAGATAGGAACAAACTAAGGGCATCATCGTGATCCTCTCGTCAATCCGCATCGAATGATATAGGGGAGAGTGGGGTAAGATGCCCAGGGTGGGAAAGACGCCCCACCCCCTCTAGCAACGAAACAAAGAATCGAACCCGGAAATTAATGTTCTTAGCGTAAAGCGGAAGCCTGCCTTGTTAACACGCGCAGTGGAAGGGGGGGGGGGGCGGATTTCGCCCACCCCTCCTGTTTTTCGCCAATAACTCGCGCCGCAAGCATAATATCAATGTGAAATTTCGGCTACCTGTCCAGAATTTAACTACGGATCTTCTCGTGCAAGAAGTAAGAAAATCGGTTCACAACTTTTCTAGTAATAGCGGTGTAAAGTCAAACATCCTGCCGCCGCGGCGGCGCGGCGGCGCGGCGGCCGGCGTTAACTAGCCGTTACGCGCCGCCTGAATTGTAGACTGTGCCGGGGCGGGACGGTTCCGTCTTTACATCGCGCTCCTTACCGCTGATTATATTAGATTCGCGTCAAATTCGGTGAGAAGACTGATAAATGTACAGGCAATCATATGGTCAAAGAATTTTGAAAATCAGCCGGTAACAACTTGAGTTATGAGTGTGTAAACACAAAATTGTGATTGCCGCGTTTCCCGCGTCGGCCGATGCCGCTTCAGCCGGCGACATCTTACCCTTCGCAGGTTTCTAACTGCCATATTTATTGTTGGATTATCTATAAATTCACTATACATACTCACAAATGTTTGCTCTTTCGTATAGTGAAAGATTTTAAAAAATCGGCCGGTAACTTTTTGAGTTATCGGCGTGTAAACGCAAAAAAGTCGCTAATATGGCAGATTTGACCACATCTGACCTCATTTGACCTTGAAGATATTGATCTAGGGTCATGAAATTCACACACAACAGAGTTCCCCATGGCCCCCACCTACCCTCCAAATTTCGTCTTTCTAGCTCCAGTGGGAGCTGAGATCTTAGGGGGGGCGACATCCGCCCCCCCCTTCCACTGGGCGTAGTACTCGCAACCCTTCCACTGCGCGTGTTAACTGCACAAAAATTTGCGAAGCTCAGTTGGGCAACGGCTGGATGGTGAATGCATGTTTTTTATTTGCTGCTTTGAAAAATATTTTGGTGTCCAAACAATTTAAATATCAAAGAGGGTAGATAATTTTTGCGTCCCTTGCTATAGTCGTGATACATTAAAACCCTCGCACGACCAGGCCATTTCTCATAACACGAACGACCAGGGGGGGGGGGTTGTTACGACCCCCCCCTGGCGTTTCGAAACGGAAGGTCGTAGAGCTTAGCGGAAAAAACCAACGGATTGCTCTCAACGAGATCTCGCGATTGGTGGTATATTTTTTGGTCCTAGGTCAACATTTGACCTACTTTTGACCGGTCAAAGGTCAAATTTTCGGAAAAATATACTTTTTTCAACTTTCGGCGGCGATTGCAGCAAAACGGTTGGAGATATCGACTTGAAACCTTCACTATCGTGTTCCTTGATCAATTCTCTATCGTTTGGTATGTATTTCGTTTCCCTAGCTCTAAAAATGGCGCGTTGGGAGCGCCGGAAGTCGGCAAGGTCACAGTCGGCGGCAGAAATTCGAAAAATCAAAATTTAATTTTTTGAAATCTGATTGTATTTTTGGATTTGGGAGGTCCATTTGCTCCCTATAGAAGCTAATATTGCTGCATATTCCCATTGAGGTGACAAGAATTAGCAAAATAGTGGTTCGGGCGCTTTTCAAAAATAGTACCGGACGCTGTTCCTCTTGTGACGTCATATCTCCGTGACCTGACCTGACCCGGTCAAATTTCTTATACCATATGATAGCCAATACTTGCCCCAACATGCATGGGAAGTTTCATCACGATCCATCAACCGATGTCCGTACCACCGGCAGGAAACCTCGGGCGTTGGCACTCAGTTTGTGAAAATCCGGCCGGAGGCTGTACCTCTTCTGACGTCATAACTCCGTGACCTGACATGACCCGATCAATTTTTTTTCGGCAAAAGATGCGCAAAGGTTGCCCCAGAGGGTATTGAAAATTTCAGCCCGCTACGACAAGCCGTTTAGCGTGCACTTCGAAAAAACCTCAGGGGGGGGGGTGATACAACCCCCCCCCCCCCTAGGCGTTCTAGGGTTAACATGCGTGTACTGTGTCCCAAGCAGTTTGTTTCAGGGTGTAGTTTTATGGCTACCCAATTGTACTGATTTAATGTTACTTCGGTACCTTGGGGTAAGATGCCCCCTGTCCTGATGGGGAAAGACGCCCCCCTAAATCCGTAGGCTGTCCTTCAAGCAGCCCGTCAAATCATTTATTACATGCTTGTGATGAGAGACAAAAGCCGATCTGGGACTATTGAGAGTCCAGTACGGTCGGGTGCTCCCCATGCCGGTCTCTCTTGCGGTCTCTCGGCCAACACAGCGACTTTTTGGGCGGCATCTGACTCTGAGAGCCCTCACGACGGCCTCTGTGGGCCCCATTATTGGCTCCAGGGCCCCTCACGACATCCTTTGAGGGCTCCCACGTTGGCTTCACGGACCGCGCTGGCATCTGAGGTCATCACGATGGGATCGAGGGCCCTCAAGCATCATGAAGACCTATAAGGGCCCCACAGTGGTCTCCGAACGCCACCACGGAGGCTTGTTTGGCCGCGCTGGACTATGATAACCCTAACGATGACCACTGAAGCCCCTTACGACCACTTTTGAGGGCCCTTACGATGACGTTTGGTGTCTACTGCAGGCTCGAAGGGACTACTGATTCGTTCAGGCGATTCACGTGCCCATTTATGTCACTTTTTAGTGCAGGGGCATCTTACCCAACGCCAGGGGGCGTCTTTCCCACCCTGTGGGGTAAGACGCCCCCTTTCACATCTTCAGGAAAATGCTTAATAGCAAAAACAGTTATCATATTTCAGGCACAAAAGTGTGATATTTTTTTGAGAAAAATGATGTCGGCTTCCGTTGAAACTCCAAGTTTTTGCTTTCCAATCGTCATTTTCGAATAATATATGACATAGTAAAACCCTGGGCATCTTTCCCCACTCTCCCCTATATGTTGACTTCGAAAGGTCAAGGTCAAAGGTTGACCTCAGGTCACGTGACCTCGAGGTCATCATGTATACCTATCATTCGATGCGTCTTGACGAGCTGAACACAATGAGACCATCCGCGCGGCTGTATCTTGTTCCTGTACGGAGTTATTGGGAAAAACCGCTGGTGACCTTTGATGACGTCACATGACCTTACAGCTGCCCAACAGCAAAACAGACCTCAAGGCAGTGAAGGTCGATCGTATATGAAGTCATGTATGGTATATGGGGCCATTCCGACCCGTTTTAGGGGTAAAAACAGGGAGTTGATTTTTCCCCCAATGACTTATAATGGGGAGGTCGCGAAATTGACCTGACCTTAGGTCACCGACATCAAAATTCCGAGATAAGCAAATTGTAGCTACAAATGACCTAATAACATCTTGCGACTTTCAAAGGCCTCCGACATCTACTGTAGCTCTGGCACGGTGACAAAGTTGCAAAAAAGTGACTTGAGGTTGGGTCATTCAAAGTGACCTGGTGACCTGACCTTTAAAGTTAAAAGGTTCAAACTTGCACACCATGTGTAAACTTGATGAGAGAATAGTCATACAAAATTTTGCGGCGCTACGCGCCGCGGTTTTCCCGCTATCCGCGAAAAACCTCAGGGGGGCGGATATCCGCCCCGCCCCGTCGGTGCGCGGGTTAACCAATTTACTCGATTTCACAGCACATTTCTTGAAATGTCTGTGAACAGTGAGAATCCGACCTTTGACCTGACCTGTTACGTCATCGGTTTGGCCTAGGTTAACCCGCGCGGGGCTGGGGTCTCCAGCCGAACGCGCGGGGCTGGGGGGGGTAAATTTTACCCCCCCTGTTATCTCCCGAACTAATGGTCCGATTTGGAAAATTCAAACGCCAATCGAAAGCTCTCATCACGAACTACTAAAAACATGTACTTAATTTAAAGTTTGAGGTCAAGGTCAAGGTCAGGTCAAGGGTACAAATTGCAAGTTTCTACAGTATCGGCCTTGCACCGTAGTTGCCGAAGAATGGAGTCATGGACTGAGACTGATCGCCCAAAACGTGTTCTTCGGCTACCAAGACAATATTCGTTGCATACAATATCATTCAGAGGTCAAGGTCAAGGTCAGGTCAGGTCAGGTCAGGTCACCAAAAAACAAAATATAGAAAAGGGCATGTGCGACACATGTTTTATGGGTCATTTTACTCATAGAATTCAATAGGCACACTCAATAAGTGATATGGACCACCTCTGGATGAATTTCAGGTCGAGGTCAGGTCAAGGTCAGGTCAAGTGAGGTCAAATTTTGAAGTTGGTTGTTAAGGCCTAAAAAGGTGTCTGTCTGATGCAGTTTTTCACGGCGAATCGAATGGTGCTATTTTTGTTTCCGTACGAGGTCTAGAACTTCCAAAAAAGTCATTTTTCAAAAATTTTGTGTGTCGTGACGTCATAAAATTTTGAATAACTCCCACATTTTTGAACCGATTTTTCTAAAATTTTGTATGTAGGTGCACATAGACCACTTCTCTGACATATATTCCGTTTTTTTTGATAGACTCAAAATTTTGGATTTTATAATGATTTTGCCAAAAAAGTCAGTTTTTTGAAAAAATTTAGGCCAAAATCCAAAATTTTCAAAAAACCGAGATAGCCATTTGATAGACAAAGTAAAATTACGTATAACCTTTTTTGTTACGTCTTGATTCCTTTAAAAATGAAGATGTTAGCGGCGTTTGAACTTTTGCCGTTTTTGAGGCGAAAATGGCGAACATGACGTCACTAAAACGTCAATTTCTCAAAAATTTTCCGACGGATTTCTCTCAAATTTTCAGGGAACGTGTCAAATTGATGTAAGAAAAGGTACTGAAAGTTTGGCGGCGCTGCGCGCCGCCGTTTTTGAGATATCGCAAAAATTCGCGAGGGGGGGTAAAATTTACCCCCCCCCAGCCCCGCGCGGGTTAAAGGGAGATAATGACCTTTTTCCACAAAATCTGAGTTAGGACCATTTTCTGACAAAACACAACAAGTTATAATGTAAATTAAAACCATTTTGCTCAATTCGGTACCTTGCCGCAAATATCTCAACTTGAAGTCACGTTAGCGGGGAGCGCTGAAAATGACCGTTGAATAAGTACTTACATCACTTTTTGGTACTTGCATGTAATTTTGTAAAATGAGCGTATTCCTTACATTTGATTTTCATCACATCTAGTTAGTTAATGGTCGTCTATAGTGCCTTCAAAAGATATTCATGGTTTGGGGGTGGTTTATGTCTAAATTTACGCAACTATTTTTCCTGTTCATCATCTGACGCCATATGCTGCTATTTTAGTAGCAACGACTCAATTTTGAATCGGTCCCGCCGACTGCACAAAAAAAAGAAGATAGATACAACACTTTTGCGGCATCACTGAAAAACTTATGCAGTACTGTTATCAAAATTCTCATAACACCGTTCGACAAACCTGAAGTCTTTTTGAAATAAATATGCTTGTATTTTTCGCTTCAGGCTCTGACGCCAAAATAATGAATTTCGTAGTCGCAATCACAAGATTTGGCTGCGTTTCTGGCGCATGCCGTTCATTTGTGGCGCAAAATAATAGTTGGAAACAAAGAAGAGTAGGCACTATGTACCCCCGAATTTGAATCTAATTAATTCTAAACCGAATTAACTCTAATTCAAATTAGAATCCTTACAACCAAGCAACGACAAGGCGATAACATAAACAAAAACCCAAGCGTCGCTGTTTGAAACAAAAGCGCCATATACTGCGACTTTTTTATAGAGAAGGACAACGCATTTGGGTGCAGGTGTTACAAGTACTGCAAGTACTGCTTCTTTTTTTGCAAAAATAAAGACCTTTTTCACATACGAAAATGTGCTAGGAAATTTTCATATTTTATAGAAACTACAGTAGAAATAGTATAGATGTCGAGTAATTTTTATTTAACCCGCGCCCCGTAGGGCTACCGGCGGACCCTACCACCCGTAAGGGGGGGGGGGGGCCGTTTCGGCTCCCCCCCTAAGATCTCCGAAAGTTACCGGCCGATTTTCAAAATTCAAACGGCGTTCGATAGCCCCACCCGGGAACTACCTTGTGACCAAATTTCATTGACCTAGGTCAAACCGATGACGTCACAGGTCAGGTCAAAGGTCAGATTTTCACCGTTCACAGGCAATTCAAGAAATGTGCTGTGAAAGCGAGTAAATTGGTAATTTATTGAAAACCATCGATGGTACGTTGTTCGTCAAACACATACTTTGCTATCTGAGGTCACTGATACCAGGTCAGGTCACAGCGAGGTCAGGTCACCGGGGGTCACAATATGAATGTGTCGTGTGATACATGTTTTATGGTCCATTTTACATGACAAATGCGATTATGTGGGTTAGGCAGCCTTTGGGGCCAGCCTAGGTCACGTTTTGGTGAAGGTCAAGGTCAGGTCAAATTAGGTCAAATTTCAAAGTTGATATTTTTGCATAAAATGGGTATCGATTCGATGCAGCTCGTCACGGGGAGTCTAATGGTGGTCTTCGTTCTGCTCTACGAGTTCTAGAATTGCCAAAAATTGAGTTTGAAAATTTGAAGTCATCATTTTTGAACAGTTTTTTTCGCTATAACTTGGCCAAAAAACGAGGTATCGATCTGAAATTTGGTATGTGGATAGAAGACGGTAGGCGCTATCACATATATTCCGGTTTTTTTCGAAACTCAAAAAACTTTTTGGATTTTTTGGCGAATATATCCAAAAAAAAATGCTTTTTTGATTTTTGGGGGTCAAAACTCAAAAATTTCAAAAATTCGAGATAGCAGTTTTGTAGCCCTGTCAATTCTACACCTTTTATGCCTTGATCATTTTTCTGTATCTTCAAAGCTGTAGTCCTGACAGGTCTTCTCGCGAAGGTCTTTTTTCGGTCGAAAATGACAGAACATGACGTCACTCTGACGTCATTTGTGGCCAACCTATCATAGCCTCTGGTAAAATTTTTGGTCACAATGTGTAAAATTATGCCCGGAGGGGTCCTGAAAGTTTGGTGGCGATATCTCCAGCCGTTTAGGAGATATCGACCGAAAAGGACAGGGGGGGGGGGGGCGTTTCGGCCCCCCCTACGGGGCGCGGGTTAAGAAAAAAGAAAGCTCATTATCTCCCTTTAATGAAATTTGGTCACAAGATAGTTTACCGGTGGCGCTATCGAACGCCGTTTGAATTTTGAAAATCGGCCTGTAAATTTAGACGAAACACCCCCTCCCCCTACGGGTGGTAGGACCCTCCGATAGCCCTACGGGGCGCGGGTTAACAAATAAACAATGGTTGTTTCGTTTGATACGGGGGCGGGACCCACCTACCTATCGGCCGCTTTACATGGTCAATGATTTTGTTTTGTGTCTTTGCATTGTTATATTTCAATGGTTTATTTTAATATTTTATTGGTTTTGTTCGAAAAAAACGAGTACCTACATTTGCTGTATATGTATTTTCTCGATTTAATCCCGGAACACACCATCACTTTTGCCGAGTGCCAAAGGCTGTATTTTTAGTGAAAATGATATGCATTTTACTGATTGTTTGAATTGGTTCCCACAGCAGGAGTCAGGGGCTAACAAGCTCTATTTTCGTTTTGCCAGTGTGCACTGAGTTTATATTGGGTTGCGTCTTGCGATATATCATGTTTTTAATAGGGTTTTCTTTCAGTGTTTACAAATCATTTCAATGTGCATAGATTATTTCCCTAACTCTGCCCGCCCTCTCCAGCCCCAGGAGGTCCTCTCCCGGCAGATTGCTCTCTGGGAGGGTCAGCCGGAGACCCCGGGGCCCGACTGGCGCCAGAGGGGTCTCCGAGAGACCCTGGACAGGGCCCAGAGCGGGGCGCAGCAGAGGGTCCACGGACTGACTCAGGAGAGGGCCCTCAGAGGGCCTCAGGAGAGGGCCCTCGGAGGGACTCAGCAGAGGGCCCTCGGAGGGACTCAGCAGAGGGCCCTCGGAGGGACTCAGCAGAGGGCCCTCAAAGGGCTTCAGGAGAGGGCCCTCGGAGGGTCGCACTACCGGGGAAACAGAGATCCAGGTAAGTGTTCTCAGAGAAAGCTGGTAGTCGTGATTTGATCGTTTAAAAGTTACAATGGAGTCATTCGAGATCATTGAATACATTGCTGGAAATGCGAATGCGAATGCATTTTCATAAAAAAGTGATTGAGCGGAACTGTGCTACCACATATTTGTAGCGGTAGCAGTCTGTAGCTCTATGCTTGCATTGACATGTTTTTTTTTGCCTTGTCTAAAATTCGGTATCAGGCCGACATTTTACCTATGTTGGTGTTTACTGTTTAGGTATAGGTATGCACTTACCTATACTTGTTTACAGAGTCTGAGGAGAGTTTTTGTTTGTGTTCATATCTGTGCGTGATTACATAATATGAGGAGCGGTCTCAGTTACGACCTTGCATGATTGGTTTGACATGTTTATATCTGTTTTCAGAGTCTGAGGAGCATTGCCAAGTGGACAGCCAGATCAGCCGAATTGGCCGGGAAAGTCGACAGAGGCACCGGCATATCACAGACAGGGTCAGTTTTAATATCACTATGAAGATGCGTGTTTTACATGCATTATAGTGAAACGGAAACACTTTTTGTAAAGTGCGTACGTGAATAGAAATATGTGGTCACAAAATGTTGAAATACGTTGGACCTGGGCCTCGTTTCATAAAACTCTGCCGTAACTTACACCTTTTCGTAATTCACACCCTTTCAAACTACGGAGCACAAATGACGCGGTTTCACAAAGCCACAACTGGAATTGTTTAAACCTCCGTAACTAAGCACATTTGCGTAGTTGCCGTAATTTATCAAGCGTCCTACAAATTACAATTTCGTGTCAACACTATTTTTTTACGAGAAATTATAAAACAATTATGTTGAATTTTAGTCTAAAAAATTATTTATGAAAAAACAAAATTGATATTGATGACCATCCTTTATTAAATCAATATATTGAAAATAGCAGAAAGCCAGCTAAGCAGAAGTGTCTAGCTGCGAAAGTGGCGCGGCGCGGCGAATAAACAAAATTCCAATAGCGGCCGCAAAAAGCGACTGGTACAGAAGATTTGCAGTGTCTTTTTCTCATTTTGACTGTTTTTTTTTTTCTTCCTCACCGCGCTCAACATTATAAAATATATCTAAAATTAGCTTCGAATCTTCACATTAATTCAAATACACGCAACATTTTTGTGCGTAGTTTACACCACTGATATCAAGAACTTGATAAAATATTTGGCGTTAATTACGTCGCTTTATGAAACCCAAATGGCATCAATTGGTCCGGATTCGAGCATTTGCCGTAAATGAAGCTCCGTAATTTCGATGGCGTGAATTACTCCGGTCTCCGGCTTTATGAAACCGAATTGGCATCAAATACGCCAAATCTGGCATAATTGACGGAACGCCGTAAGTAATTCCTGTTATGAAACGAGGCCCAGGTCACTAAGCGCTCACCAATTTTATCGCTGAATGACGAGAATCTATATGATTGTCCTGTGTCCAAGACTGAAGGTCTTTGATATGTGGGTTTCTCTTTCAGATGTTGCCGTCTCCGACGTCGACTTACTCCGGCAGTTCCGGCCAGCGGAGTGACTCCTGGAGGTCCTCCCCACAGACTCCGACTCCGTCTCCATGGCAACCGTCCGCCGCCAGCCCCCCTCAGTCGCCGGTGGAGGGGGTTGGGCAGGCTCGACAGTCCCCCTCAGGGTCCGCTGATTGGAACACCAGACACCAGCCCCGACAGACGTCCGAACAGCCAGCGTTTCCATGGCAACACAACGCCCCGCAGGAGCCGCCCTGGGCGGGTCATTCTCGACGAGCGAACACGTTAGTGGATCACCGCTACGGCACTGGCTTTGGACGACGGCCAACGCTGACTTCTTATCAAAGCCAGAGCGCCACACTGCCTGCGGCCCAGCCGCGACCCGCAGCCCCCTGGGACTCCTCGGAGAGGGAGAACGTGCATTCTCCTGGCTCGGTGAGAAGTTCGCCGGGCGGCCCGCAGGTGGCAGCACCGTCTTGCCACTGGGCAGCGCCACTGTCGCCCAGCGGTTCAGTGTCCAGCATGGACTGGAATCAGCTGTTCGAGACCAGCAGTGAGCAGTCGAGGTGAGAATCGGCGGTGGACTCATTTGGACTGGATTCTGTTGGGGCCGACATGCCACAGCAGGAAGCCCTGACGTTGTAACTATTTTATTTTCTTGTGTGGTCCTTAAATCCTAAACGGATAGCCGGTTGCGGTATGCCTACATAATCAGCAGATGGTTTTATGACGTTTTTTTTGTGTAAGAATAGTTGAAATCAGCCATCTTTGTGTCCAGCAATCAGCAATACAGCAATCAGCCAATCAGTAGGTACATCAATAGAAGCAAAGGCCAATAGATGCCTTCCATAATATTGCACAAATATTTTGCGGAATCCTGCGACCTGCACTGAAAACAAAAATGATTCTCCTGATGCCCTGATCATGGGCACTTATAACCGTATGATTCCCTTTTCGCTTTACCATGATGCCCATGGTGCGAGCTATTCGATAGATTGTTATTTGGTAAGCTAACCCTTCTTCCCCACTCCGGCGCTCTCCCCCGTCTGTCCTAGAGATGTCAATCGGATACCAACTTTTTGGTATAGGTACCGATACCAAACCGATTCCAACTTGGTATTTGGTATTTCAAGGCGAGTGCATTTGGTATTTTGTTGGTATTGTGAATCCTCACTAATGTAAAACAGGCTTAGAAATTGGTAAAAAGTTGGCATTTTCCTCATATTCCCTAGTCGGTTTGGTTTCGGTATTTTTCCATGGATATTGTTGGTATTTGGTTTGGTATCGGTATCACGATTTTCCGTAATTGACATCACTAGTCTGTCCGTTTCAGCTGTGTGGAGGACGAGCCCAGCTCCGTCTCCGGCGACTGGGGCCGCTCGCTCTCCCGAGAGGAGGTCGTGCGGTGGTACCAGCAGACGCAGCTGCCGCGAGGGGTCGGCGTAGACGCCCTCACCGGCCGGGCAGCCGCCTGGTTCCATGGTGAGCAAAGAGAGAGAGAGAGAAAGAGAGAGAGAGAGAGAGAGAGAGAGAGAGAGAGAGAGAGAGGGGGAGAGGGAGAGGGAGAGGGAGAGGGAGAGGGAGAGGGAGAGGGAGGGAGAGAGGGGGGGGGCGTATACCCTATCGTCACGGTTATATGTGTGTAACGTGACATGTCATAGTTGTCAATGTAGTTGATTGGGTTCATAGGATGAGTAATCTAGCCGCAAAATATTTGTTCACGTTCATATGGTGATTTGTATCACATTTCGAGCTATGTAACTAAGCCGTACGAATGCATTGTAAGAGGGCGACAGCACTCAGCTCATCAGGAAAGTTCCGCACAGATGTTTATCAGACGATTGGCTACAACACGTTAAAAATGTCTCCCAACGAACAATATAAATAATTTACTAAACGGTTGACGTTCTGTAGGCTAGCGTTCACGCCATATCGTCAGGCATCCCAGTCACTGACACGCACCAACCATTGTTTCCGCATGTTTATCTGTTTGTCGTCACAAATATGCAAATAGATCGCGCGCGGCGCGACATGGACATTTGACAAACATCTGGTCTACCATAACAAACAGTTGGTCTAACATGACAGACCTGCCCATCGAGCTTCAATGCCGTTTTTGTCAGCTGTTTTTCTGTTGCTAACCGGGCAGCTTCCTGCCGCGGTTTTCTACCCAGTGACGTCACCAGGTTTTATACCCAGTGACGTCACCAGGTTTTGTCCGGTCGGGCGGACGCCGGGCCGGCCGGTTATTGTATGATCACACATGTCGCTCGTGAACAGTGACTCGGAGTTATGGTAATGTGGTACATGTGGTCGACTCGAGTAGGTCGCTGGGCCGGCGTGGTTAGAAACAGCGAACGATGGGTCGTGCGCTTTGCTGTCAGGTGTGTGATACTTGTTTAACGGTATCGCAACTGCAAAACTAACGCTTAAATCAAATAGATATTTTATTGTATCTGATATGATTCAATTTCTAGGTTACTAGCCTTTGATTTAAAAGATAATCGTAGCAATTAATACTTTAGCCATTCGGCATGCCCTTTTCGTAAACCAAAGTCCCATGGATCTACCACAATAACTTGATGTCTCACTCTGAGCTAAATGTACCTTTACTGGCTCATCAAATCACAGCAGTGACGGTAACCCAGAACCGTCTGGTCAGCCTGTGGAAAGGTAGCATTTTTCCCGGAACGATTTCGCACGGTGAGACAAGGCTCATCGAGCTGTGTTTGACCACACAGCGACAACTGTCGGCCCATTGTGCGCCGTGTGATGTCACTGCTCCATACCATAATGCTGGTGTGGTCCTACATTAGATCATTTGTAATCATTGGGATATTTGTGACAGGACAGAGTATGCGATGATGTTAGAAAAGTGATCATCCTACAATGAAAAAGTCATCGAATACACTCAAATGTGTTTGAAACTGAGGTGAATACTAAATCAAATGCCTACCGGAGCTCGCGCATATCAATTAATAAATTATTTAGCAGCTCGATGAATACTAAATAACCAGTCGATGGGTGGCCCCACATCCGACGCTGAATGGTCGATGAGCCGTTATGACACGTTACGTCACAAAACAGGTAATTACACTGATTAGGGCTGACGCTAGCATTTCGCCCGGTTGTGGGGTCCGAGCTGATATGACAGCTAAACATGTGTGCGCTGTTTTGGAGGGCTTTTTATGTGTAATATGACGGCGTGCTATGGACCGTGTCTGTCAGACACCACATATATGTGGCCTGTCAACTCATCGTCTACTAGACATCAGATGAAATATTTCAGTAAACGGTCGGATAGCGCGGACACGTTTTTCAATGCCTCTTTTGTGATCCTACACCTGCTTTACAAAATAAAAGTTTTTTATTAATTTATTCTTAATTTCATTCCCCAAATTATTTTTCACTCATGCATTCATACATTCATTCAATAAGTGAATCATTCCTTTGTTGTTTTTTCATTCGTTCATTCATTCGCTTGCTCGTTTGTGTTGTTGCGCACAGTCATCTTGTCTAGTGTGTTCACTTCTCCCCAAATCTGCCCATCCCCTTTCTCTCATGTCCCCTCTTTTCCCAGGTCTTCCCAGCTCTCTCTCTCTCTCTCATTGCCCCCCCCCCTCCCCTGCAGGTCTGGTAGGACGCGCGGAGGCCGAACACCGCCTCCTGGCCTGTCCACCCGGCGCCTACCTCGTCCGCTGCTCTCAGAGAATCTGCGGCTACACCCTCTCCTACCGGTCCCAGAAGAGGTGCAAACACTTCCTGGTGGAGGCCGCCGAGGAGGGCTACCGGTTCTACGGAAACCCCGAGAGGCTCTTCAGGACGCTAGGTGAGGAACCGGTGGAGAAAGTTTATATACTTTATATATACTCCTATATATACTCCTATAGGAGCGCCGGACGTCAGCGAGCGCTGGCTTCGGATGTTATGATACTGTTTAGTTTGAGAAGCTGGCGTCTTCGCTGAAGAAACACATTTATTTTTGCTATGCTATGCTATGATGATCAAAGGCGTTTCCTCAAGCATAACCCTCGCCGGCCGAGGGGGGGGGGGCGGGTGCCGCCCCCCATAGGGTTTTTTTCGCGATAGCTCCGAACACGATGGCGATAGAGAGCTGAAACTTTGCATACCTGACCTTTGATTCAAGCCCGATCTTTTGAAACCAACCGCATTTTCGGGTCAGGTCAGGTCACTGACCTATGACGTCATAAGTGAACCTCTGCACGGTCTTCAGGTGTCGCAACTTCGCAACGCCCTCACTGCCAGAGGAGATGTCACAGGGAAATGAAACTTGCAGGATCTAGTATCCATTATGAGTCTCACAACTTGTATATCTCGGATTTTTCCTAAAGGTCATATGAGGTCAGGTCATTTTCGTGACCTCACCATTATAAGTCAATGGGGAAAAATGAAAACTGCTATTCTGGCTTCGGGAACGATCTCCAACTATCTCAAGCACACAGAATCGTGATTTGATGCACTCCTTACAAGGTTTGATGGTACGTACTGTACAGGGAGAGTTAGTTCTATGGCGATATCATATTAGTTTATTGTAAAAATCGGCATCTTACAAAACACTAAAATCCACCATGAACAATAATTTTCTCTCTCTTCTTTTACATGATCACTTTGTCACACTGATCTTGATTTTATTGATCCTCGCGCAGAGGCGCATGAATCTGGCATTGCAGTCCTCTGATGGACGTGCGCATCTAAATGAAACATGATTGAATGAATGAATCAATGAGAATGAATGATGCTCGAGCCGTCCTCAACATCCCGGCCTCCTCGAGCCTTGTCTCGAGATAATTGGGAGGACGACGAGCTTCCGCACCGGTCGATGGAGATGTCCGTGCATGGTCCGTACCCGTGCCGATCGGACCGCCCCATCTTGACCCGTCATCACTTCTTCAACTATGCCTTTCGGCCATAGCCCTCGTGGATGGCGTTCATCTGCCACGATGACCACATCACCGATTTCCACATTCCGCGTGCTGTTCAGCCACTTCGATCGCCTGCTTATAGCTGGTAAGTATTCGCGCATCCAGCGACGCCAGAAGTGGTCCGCCAGTGTTTGTGCGTACCGCCACCTCTTCCTCAAGTCGCCGTCCTGCTCTTCCGTTCCAACAGGGTATGACGCTGTCGCTCTTCCGATGAGAAAATGGAACGGTGTCAGAACGTCATCATCTGCTGGGTCCACTGAAACGTGAGTCAAGGGCGTTGAGTTCATGATCTTTTCCACTTCGCAGAGGAGTGTCATCAGCACTTCATATCTCGGCCTCTGCTCCTTTAGGATGAGTCTTAGGGTTTCCTTCACCGTGCGGATTCCTCTCTCCCAGACACCGCCGGCCTCCGGATCAGCGGGGGGAGAAAAGTGCCAAGTGATCTTGCTCACTGCTAGCTTTTCTCTCATCCTGTTCTGGTCTAGGCTTTCAATGCATTTTCTGAGTTCTTTTTCTGCGGCTCGAAGATTCGTTCCATTATCGGACCACAGCTCTCTCACGTTTCCACGCCTGGCCTGAAATCTTGAGATCGCCATAAGAGTCGCCTCTGTGTCGAGGCTGTCTGTCAGCTCCAGGTGGGTCGCCTTTGTCGCCATGCATCTGAAGAAAATGCCCCACAACTTCACCGTGGACCTACCCCTTGTTGAAAGGATTGGACCGAAATAATCTACCGCAGTAGAGGCGAATGGACCATCCAGCATAGTCACGCGTGACCTCGGCAGTTGTCCCATCTGTGCTGACTGAGGCTGAGCCTTTCGGTTTTTACAGACTTGGCAGTGTTTCACCACAGAGCGGATTGCTGACCGCGCGTGCGGTATCCAGCAGCGCTGCCTCAGCTCTGCGAGAACAGCTTCATTAGCCCGATGACCCATCCGCTCATGTAGATGTTGTATCAGCAGCTGAACGTACCGGTGACGACGATCCAGTATTGGAGGCTGCTTTGCGCTGGGGCTCAGTGATTGAGCATGCTTCATCCTCGTGTCCACACAGAGCAGACCGTTGACCAGGATCGGTGACAAACCCGCGATCGTGCTCTTCGGATCAGCTGGCAGCTCGGCTCGTAAGTCCTTCAGCTCTTGCGAGTAGTGTTCTTCCTGAACTGACTTCATCCATAAGTGTTCTGCTTCAGTCAACTCTTCTACCGAGAATTCGCCTGATTCTCCGTCTCGCCGGCTTGTCAACCAGCGTCTCATTGTCGCTACAGCGCGCACAGCCACTGTCCACCGAGAGAACCGGTCTGGATCGGGTAGAACTGAGGCAGTGGTGGCGGCGAGTGACGGCACTGTCGCCAGTACTGTTTTGGTCTCTGGATCATCTTTTAGGATCACATCAGGTTCGACATGATCGCTACAAGGCCACTCTGTCTCTGGAAGCCACAAGAAGTCAGGGCCGCGCGCCCAGCTGCTTTCCGGCCTCAGGTCATGAAGACTCTGACCGCGCGATGCGGCGTCCGCTGGGTTTAGCGCAGTGGGAACGTATCGCCAGTCCTCCGGCCTCGTGACGTCATGGATCTCAGCTATCCGGTTGCTGACAAACACGTGATATCTTCGCCTGCTGGACTGAATCCACGCAAGAACATTCTTTGAGTCTGACCAGCAGAGCTGGGCAAGTGCGTTCCTTTAGTGCGTTCCTGCGTTCTTCCGTACGTACGCACCGCCCTTTTTAGGAACGCAAGAACGCAGGAACGCAAAGTTTTTCAAAGGAACGCAAGTAAGAGGAACGCACCACCCGAAATTTTGAAGCGTTCCTGCGTTCTTGCGGAACCATCCGAAAAATCATATTGCTGCCAATGACCTCTGTGTCAAATGTTTGAATCTCGAGTACGTGTGTTTGCCGGTAGAGGCGCCACTTGTCGGTCGAATCGAGGAAGGCTTGTTTAGATTTAGTGGTGATGTTCACTATTCGATTCGGTTTCAGGCATCAAATGTGTAAAGGAAATTTGATAACTTTTTCTTAGATACATCTTTCAACTTAACTATTGTTTTTAAGCAGGTCGTATTTTTGTTGAAAACCCTACGGATGATATTGTTAAAACGTATTTCAGATATTCGATTCGGAAAAGAGATGTCGAGTTGCTTTTCGGCCCCGCGTCGCCATTCTGGGTATTCTGTGATCGATTCGCCCCGTGTTTGGTTGGGCCCGCGCCGCGTGGTTCGGCGGTATTTCTTTGTCCACGACTTCGGTTGTGAAGAACACGCCTGTAGTGTTGGACTGGCGCGATTTGCCTACTTTGTCCGCTACAGTGTTGCGTTGCACTGATTTTGGTATGATTTGCTGCTTGGTAGAGCCAGAATACAATACGGGTTAAAGGTATTATCAGGGTTTTTTTCCAAAATTTCGGACTTACTCAGTGAAACGTGTAGAAGAAGGTGACTGAAGCCCCAATCCAAAGTCATTCGTCTCAAAATTGCCTAATTTTCCAATGGTGGGCCTCCAAAGTTTTCGCGGCTGCCAGCCGCGTAAACTTGCGAGTACTTGGTGGTCCATCTCTAAACGCCCATAGGGTTTACACTAGCGGAGACTTTTCTAAATATTTCTAGGGAAAATATAATGGATCTAGGGAAAATATAATGGATCTAGGGAAAATATAATAGATTACATGCTTTATTATATTTTCCCAAGACAAAATAGGGAAATATAGCATAGGTCCGTAACACAACGAACACAACCTTCTTCTCATTCTTCTCAGCTTCTCATTCTAGATATCCTGTGGGTTATCAAAATAATTCAAATTAAAAAATTGTGTTGTGTGCGTTCAAACTAAGCTCATCCCGAGTGTAATTCAAGAATGTCTTAGTTCAAGTAATTAAACTTAAAAGTGATATAGCTCAAGCAATGAAGAAGCTTGGATGGAACTAGTGTTGAATCAAAGTTACCTATCATTTTTAATGCTAAGTGCTGAACGTTACCAATAATTCGAGACATCCGTTGTAAGATGTATGACGCAGATCAACTTTGATCAAGTGAAGAAAATAGATTTCAGATGAAATGATGTCAATGTTCAAGGCTGAGCGACTGGCAGATTTCGGAGTGAGCACGAGTGGCCTTGAGACATTCTGTTTCTGTAGGTACTCAAAATAAATAAATTATCATGTTGTGTGCTTTGAGGTTAAGTGTTATCAGTGGTGCTTCATGGTTGTGCTTTGTTGTTGGTGTATAGGCATGTTTTGAGCACATTGCAGCATGATATTGGTGGTGTGTAAAGCAACTGATCTCCGCAGACTTTGCACTTACTTGCAAAGCCTGCGGACTGACTTTGCAGACTTTGGCTGACAATGAGCAATGCATTGCTGACTGATATCATTTATTCTGTGTTTGTAGCACAAAGTACAGAAGTGGAACATACATTGTTACTTTGAAAACATGATGTGAATTTTGATGTAGAAAATTGGTGGCTGACGTTGAGTCCTGACGTATTGTGAGTAGTGTACATCTGGTGCATTGAGCGCAGACTTGAGACCAGTGACGTTTGTATCAGTAGACTGTGTTTGAGTCTACTTATATGGGTAGTCATAAAGCAGGCGTCACACTTCTTTTTGCAACCAAGGAGATGCGCTATACCCAGAGATGCTTTCTCACCAAACCTTACCAAACCAAACCTAACCTACAGCACCTCTCTTCCTTCGTTCATGGTTGCAAAAAAACAAGTGTGACGCCTGCTATACTACTACCCTTATATGGCCTTGGTTTGAGTGTGGTGACTGAGTAAGCTGGTGTGTATAGCCATGCAATAAGTGTTTTGAAATATATTTTTGGGACAGTATTGAAATGGTGTGTTTTGGCCATCTGGCATGGATGATGGAAAGTCACTAACTCAACTTCAGGA